ATTTCGGTGTTTACAAAAAATTATTTGGGTGATGCACACGCTATATACAAATGTATACATTAAAATAATAATTATAAATGGGCGTCTGTGATGTTGATTACATTGTTCAAAAATAAGTCAATAAATACCTGTAACAAAGTAACTGTATAGCAAAAATTCAATCAATTAACGTAGTAAAATCACCTAAGTAAAGGTGTGATGCGCTTACGGCTATTTTACATTTGGATCACGAGTCGAGATGTACCAGACTCTCGACAAGGTCGGAGGACTGGCTCACTTACTTAACGCTAACTTCACAATACTGAAACTGTACCTGGTTATTGACTAGCAGGCGTATCGCAAGATGACTTGCGTTTCCTTTACTGCATCAGAATATTTCTTCTCACATGACAATACTGAAGCTTGAAAACCCCACCGGATTTTTGACAGGAAAGATCAAAACATCGATCTGGTCAAACTGAGCAATCTGTCCTCTTTGCAAATAGTTTTGTACATATATTACGGTTAGTAAAAGGCACTTTAGTTTAAATACTTCCAAAATCTACTTTTTGTGTGATTTGAATGATTTGTATAAATCTTTCTTTACTTAAATGTTAATATTAAAGATGAATAATTAGCAATACATTTGCTAAAATAATAGCAGTAAATCTCTCTTGGCTCTGTAAGAGCAATGCATTAGTTGAGACGGGCATTGCGAAAGTTCATTCAGTACGTGCGGGCTGTTCCAAGTTTTTATTTCACGGAAAAGAGATTAATTTGATTATATATATTACTTTGAAATGAGTGAAGGTCATCTATTTTTATCATCATTTTCACAACTGTACAAAGACTTGGCTTTTGCTAGATCCCCCTACTTCAAGTTTCCCATTCAGAGCGTACAAGTTGAAAGGCAATATATACCCTGTATATATGTAACCCCCCCCCCCAAAAAAAAACATAAATAAATAAATAAATAAAAACGTATCGTTTGTAGACTTTCATTCATGTACGATAACTTAAGATGGATGGCCCTTTATAATCATCAAAGATGTGACGAAGTTAACTCAATTAATTTTGGTCCTGAATTTTAGCTATTTCGCGTAAATTGGATTTCACGATGATTATAAGTAAATTATATTCCCTGTACCATCTGTTCCTGAGATATCGGTATTATCTCCCAGTATGGACATAATTTAAGCCACTGGTTTACTATAGAATACATGTATATACTGCTCAACGGGGATGCCTCCGAAGCTAGGTTTATTGGTCCAAAAAACGTATGCACGCGCCTCAGCTGAACTTTTAATGTCTATTGCCAGTACACTTTATTCATGCACTAATTCGGACTATCGAAACTTCGGGCCATATTGATACTACAAGTACAGTATGTATCAAACATTTTCAGTATACTGTATATGCCCCCCCTCCCTCCTCCTCCTCCTCGATTTCAGAGCAATTAAGTTGCTGCAACGTATTAATTTTCTTCAATCTTTTCCTTCTAGAGTCAACATTTTTTAGGTATACTAGTATGTCAGTGGAAGCTCATTCATGTATCGTTTAAAACTTCCAGTCGTAATTATTGCCCGTATATTGTTTATTGTTTATACTGGACTTTATGCATTATCAGTCACCAGCAGTCACGCGCAGCCAAATCACTTCCGTAAGCTATTGAGCATGCGTGATAGTGTTAAGTGACGTCATCCACAGGAGAAACTTTGCGTTGAAGATCTGTAGCATTCCCAAAACATTCACAATGTCATACGCATATCTATTTAAATATATTATTATCGGAGATACAGGTAAGCCTTGTGTGTGTTTTGAGATATATTTTAGGAAATTAGATTATATGTTATTAATTTTGACGCAGAATTAAGAAAACGGGGATTTGACACATTGCCACTGTGGATATAAGCAGTGAAAATGGCGTCGAAAATTGATTTCTTGTGTTTTTCCAAGTTCACAGGTGTGTAACTTAAGACAAAGAGCTTTGTTCGTGCTATGCTTGAAAATTATACTGTAAAGACAAAAAATACTTAATTTCAATGGAATACACTACAAAAAGAACCACATTAAGGAGTGTGTGTGTACTTTATTTTGGGTCACTCGCGTCTATTTTTAGATCTTTACTTTATCACATTTTCATGCACATTGTGCAAAAAACTTCAACATTACATTTGAACGTTTTGTAGATTGATAAAACAGAATGCTTCAGTTCAATAAGTCACTGTCAATAACAAAAGTCGTCTTGCTTATGCCCAATGCTCAAATTAACTAATGTCTTTTAACTATACCTGTTTAGAATGACAGCTAGATGATGATCATTTAATGACCTAGATGCCTACTCACTGGTCAACCCAATATTGTCATTAAATGGATGACTACCATCTCCTTATTGTTATAATATTGTACAAGCTTCTATCATTGTTTCCACTGGCTTAACCCTGTACGACATACACATTTCTGTGATAATCCAACTTGGTCTGAAAAAAAGTTTGATTATTATGTTTAGCGTTGTCATTTCATTTTCACATGGCCCAGTTGTCCAAGAACTTAAATCAGAATATATACAACAATATTAGTGCCCAAATTATGGCAGAATATAGAAAACAATACCCTTTTCCCCAATTTTACCAGGTATTGGGGGGGGATGGGAGCATGCCGTCATTCTTCCTCACCCCCTTCCCACTTCGATCACAGAAATTTAGGTCTAAGAGAAAGATGTCTGTAGATTTCCAGAATATCATAGACCAGTGCCTATGGAGTCATAAATTTCTATCCCATGCTGAACCAACCATGTTGTAAGGTTACCAAAACATAGAACTTGTATATATATACTAACCAGATGGCCTTGTGTTATGTGATAGGTATCCGCCTTCTGTTTATCTATATGGATATCTGCATTACATGGCTAATTCAGTTCCAGTTGTAACAGAACAATATGATTATACGGCTGTAGAATAGAGTTGATTTATTACAGTCCATTGGTTTGCAGTTAGTAGAGCCTGTAGATATGTTAGACCTGTGTATTCTATTGATCCAATCTCTTGTAGCATGAATTGTATATTTTCTCTTCATATGAAATTCACATATTACACCATGTGTAGGCGGCCTGTTAAACATCATGCTACAATGATTTATATTATTTATCTAGGTCAGAGAGTAAAATAGTTGTTGAATTTATTTATATGCACTTGGTGTAATAATGATAGCGGAGTATCTGTCATATGTGGGTGGTTTGCATATATTATATGCTTATTGAGGTCAAAGACTTAGGGGAAAAAAGCGTTCTGTTTAAAAATGGTTTGTTTATTGAAAATATAACATCTGAGTGATGATAAACACATGTATTCAGGTGTATTTGGGCTGAGACATTTAATCTACAATAAGAAGATACTAGACTACAATGAGGTCACAATAGACTACAATATAATTTCAAAGATATGATAAGTACCTGTTATGTTTAAATGTGGTATTAATAGCTCCTGTGCCGAGTGCTATTATGACTACACAATAGCCATTTAAATCTGTATATACTCCATTGGTAGTGATTATCTCAGACTCTGTTTATGTTAGGGATATGGTTATCTTATATGATGTTTCTCAGATATTTTTATATAATAAGTTATATGTTTAACTGGAGAGTTGAAAGGTTTGCCAGTTAGTGTATGTGACGCCCAGAAGTTGATGACACACATTTACCTTGCTCTCCAGTGATGCTTCTGACTTAATACTGTGGGGGTTGGGGGAGGGGGGCATATCCCTAAGTTATCACACTAGAGTTAAAGTAGGGTGTAAGGCATGATGAGGTCCAGTTTCTTACTTAATTGTTTCATTGTGATGCAATGAAATATTTTTGTATAAGATCGGAAAGATTGGGGAGGGGGGTGATACAGGAGAATGACCCCGATAGAAGTGAAGATCTATATGTCAAAACAGTGTCCCATTTATCATCATTGTGTACAAGCACAATTTAATGTCATAAATGACTGACATGTTATCTCCTGGTATTACTATGTTCACATGTCTGAGTTCTCTCTTGTGTTAAGTCAGTTATAGATACATACTGAAAGTATTAAAATTGGATTGGAGGAAGAAAATAATTTATCATATGGTGTTATACCATGGAATTTATCATAGTTTTATACCATGAGGAGTCTTGCAAAATGCACAACACACATGAATGCATGTTACAACAGGCTGGGGTCTTGCTCTGGACACGGATGCACCACGGGTCAGTGAGATGATTGTAACATCCACTCATCTTTTCACCGGTATATAACATATATAATATACACACTTCTCTGAGACCTGGTGAATCTAATATGTTGTGTATAATTTTCATCTCACAAAATGATGAAGCTGTTCTTAGAGAAACCAAATCCTATAATGACCCCAGTGAATAAATATCTCTACTACTTGATGTACATGTATACAAGATCTAAGGGTGCTTTCCCAGAGATTTAGATCGATCTAAAGATTAAGTTTAAGATCGACCTAACTCCCTGGGGGGTTCACGCTAAATTGCAGTCAGCCGAGCGGGCACCATAGTTAATTACCCCCTTACAGCTTTTAGTAGGCGGGGCAGACGCTTAAGCCGGCCAAGCTGACAGTAATCTAGTGAGACTCCCCACAGGGATAGATCGATCTAAAAATCTATGGAAATGGGGTGTAATATTTTCTTCCTCCCCCCTCCCCCAAAATCTGCAACATGTATAAAGCTAAACTTTGCCTTTGTTAATACTAGTGCCATCTTTGTGTCATGCTTGTGTTTGACAGATACAGGCATTAAAAACAAACAATTGAGGAGTTTGTGGGGGGAAAATGCAAGATCCTTCTTCAGTTTTCCATACAGTTGAAGTTATTTCTGCACATATCTGATACATGTGTGTTTTATCTTTCACCAGGTGTAGGCAAATCCTGTTTACTACTGCAGTTTACAGATAAGAGATTTCAACCGGTCCATGACTTAACTATAGGTGAGTTTATTTCTTCATTGTATCTTGTGTTATGATGATAAAAAAGTGAATCTTCTCTAATGAGACTACACATTTCTTCTCCTGGTGAGATTTGACATTTATGACTTTCATGAAAGGGCCTTGATCACAGAACTGGTAAAATTTATTTATTTATTTTATTTAATTTATTTTATTTTATTTTATTTTTTATTTATTTATTATTATTTTTGTGTGTGTGTGTGAAATGGGACTTGGACTTACTGTGTTTACTGTAAAGTTGACAGATATAGATAAGCATTATAAAAGGTTATGTGAATTCTTGTTTTGCTTATGACATTTAAGTATTTGTTATTGTTGCAAGTAAAATATAAACATTATCAAAGGTTCCTGTTAGATAACCTTCTCTTTATCTCATTCTAGGTGTAGAGTTTGGAGCTCGTATGATCACAATTGATGGCAAGCAGATTAAATTACAGATCTGGGACACAGTAAGTGAAGCCAGAAATCTTCTCTTTTCTCAATTCTGTGTTGCGTATGAAGAATTAGGCATAATTATTAAGAAGCTGTCATTTATTGTTGCAATGCCGAAGGTGGATATCCGTTCCCTGGGCAAGATTTGTCCGCTGCTGAATTATTTTACAGAGCTCATAGAGTTTTTTTTTTCACATGTAGAAATGATATTGTATTGTATAGTATTCAATTTAATTGTATTGTGTTGTGTTGTTGCATTGAATTTATTTATTTAATTTTTGCATTCTCTTTATGTCTCACAAACATATCTTCTCCAACCTGTAATAGGTAAAGCCATTGATTAAAGTTCAACTATTTCATCCACTCCGTCTGGTTTGACATGGAAAGCCATGTTATTGTAGGTCTGTTGTAGCTTTCTATCACAACTCACATACACAGAGAATCAATACTCCCTTAGCTCACACTGATTACCCACAGTTTTGAACATATACTGAATTATATCACTATGGAGATTACTCTAGAAGTATATTAACTGGGTTATGGGCAAACTACTGGCTAGTGCATTATTCAGACGTAATATGGTGTTTACAACATGGTTTAGTACCACATAGTAGGGCAGGGAATTCCCTTTGGGATAATTTAAAAAGAATAGTTCTTGTCAAAAGGGAGTTTTGGTAATAATTGTATGGAGGTTTTTTGCTGAAGTCCTTCAGCCAAAAGAAAAAGGGGTCAGGGACAGTTAGTATTGTTATGCAAGCTGTTTGCCTCTGGATTCATGGCATATTTGTGAGTATTTGTTTTCTACTTTTTCGGTCAAAAACAAATTTCAGTGGCCTTAGACCAGACAACAGCACTATATTATTCAACCACCTGTTTCTCTAACACCATGTTTATAATTTTATATTCATCTAAAATAAACAGTTATTTACTCCGTGTGTGTACATATTGGACGTGAATATGTTAAATTATATTTCCTGCAGGCAGTTTTAATCACCCTCTTGGCATTCTGAGGCAATGTATTGATCCAGACACATAAAATCAAATTACGAGTTTTTTTTTTACAAGTGCTGCTTTTACCCTGTTTCTGGTCCAACAAGATATTTTTTTAGCATGGCCTAAAAGGGCCTTTTCTCCAGAGCACTTGAAATATTTTAGTAATATTCATTGTGCTTCCTGACAGTTCTCTTGGCTTTCTGAGTCGGTGGTTGGCCTTCAGCCTGCTGGGTGATCAATCTCTTCCTTTCACTTTCTACAAAACATCTCTTCATCTAACTTGAAATAGCACTCAGAATGCTGCCTTTGCAGTAATAAAATATTCCCGTGCTAATGGGATTAAAAGAAAGGGCAGAGTTAGATGTTTATCAGATTGAGAAGTGAGATGTGTTTTTAGGTCGCAGTGACATTTATTGACCAGTCATGGCTGAGATTTTTCTTCTTTACCCTTCATATATGACACAGTATCGAGGAGTTCTATTTTTTTTATGATGTGATAAAAAACGAAAGGAAATTCTCTTTACTTAGTGATCAAAATTAACACCAACTATTTGTTGGTAACATAATTATAAAATTAACACACATTTCCTTCATGCACCAGTTATAAGGTATATAATATTATGTTTCCAGGCTGGACAGGAGTCCTTTAGGTCCATCACAAGATCTTACTACCGGGGTGCAGCAGGGGCACTTTTAGTCTATGACATCACAAGGTATGTATGACATCACATCGTGTCTGTGACATCACAAGGAGTGTATGACATCACAAGGAGTGTACGACATCACAAAGTTGGTATGGTATTGTAAGTGAATGGTATTACAGGGCATTTTTGACCTCATGCATGTATTACATCACAAGGTGTGTTTTGGGATTATAACTTGTGAAGTCAGTAGTAGTTAATCTCTCCTTATATATGCTTCAGGCATACAAAGATGCTTAGAACATATCATACAAACATTATATAATAAGATATGAATGTAATGCTGTTATTATTCTCTCTTCAATTTTTACCACATGTTCAGTGTACCCTGTCGTTACTTGCAGGCGAGACACATTCAACCACCTTACAACTTGGCTGGAAGATGCCATGTGTATTTCACATATTTAATGCCTTATGTTTTGTATACATACCTTGTTGTTTACTTACAGGCGAGACACATTCAACCACCTGACAACTTGGCTGGAAGATGCCAGGCAGCACTCCAGCTCCAACATGGTCATCATGTTGATTGGAAACAAGAGGTAAAGGCATGGGCACCAGTAGGACATTTCATGTTAACTTTATGAACTTTTATTTATTTATTTATTTATATTATGAGGGGGGTGGAGTCTACACACATGTTGCAGTCAAGGGTGTACAAGTTTTAGACCCCATTTCCAGAGATTAGATCCATCTACTTTAGATCCACCTAACTCCCTGGGGGTTCACGCTAAATAGCTGTCAGCCAAGCGGACTCGAAAGTTAATTACCCCCTTACAGCTTGTAGTAGGCGGGACGGTCATTTAAGCCAGATTATCTGACAGTAATTTGGTGAGAATCCCCTCGGGGATAGATCGATCTAAAAGCTCTGGGAATACAGCCTTAAAGGAAGCTTTGTAAGAAAACTGAAATGCCAAAATAAAAGGAAAAATAATTGACAGTTTACTATTGCACAGAGGACTATCCAACACCAGCTGTCTCTCCGTACAATTTGGTCATCAGTCTGTGGCTATTATTTTGCAGGAAATTACACAAGTGATGATGTGTAAATGATTGTCTTGATTGTTCTTAGTGACTTAGAAGCCAGAAGAGATGTGAAGAAGGAAGAAGGAGAAGCATTTGCCAGAGAGCATGGTCTGATCTTTATGGAGACATCAGCCAAGACAGCAGCCAATGTAGAAGAGGTAGGGGCATGAACTATATAGGGGGGTTGTGAAAGTTGTTCTGATTAGTTAGACTATGGCAAATATTATATTTATATGATACAAATTCATAAAATAAATTTGTTATTTGGTAATGTTATAAGATCATACCATAGAAGGGGGCAGCCCTGGTTAAAAGTATTTCAATGAAAGAGAGAGAAAGAGAGATGCATAACATTTTTTTAATACATGTTAAATAGATAAGGTGACTGTTTCAATACGGGGTATTTTACAGGAGATGCTCTCCTCAAGACACTGTTATATATATGGTACAATTTCAGGCTTTTATCAATACTGCCAAAGCCATCTACGAGAAGGTCCAGGAGGGTGTTCTCGATATTAACAATGAGGTAAAAGCAGCGGCAGCCAGCCCTGCCCATATATAGGTGGCGTTAGTAGACCTGCACTGTAGACGTACTTCTCTGTGATTTGTGTTTCTTACTTTTCTTTCTTTTGTTGTCACCTTGTGCTTTTCTAGGCCTTCATTAACACAGCAAAAGAGATCTATCAGAAGATCCAGGACGGTGTATTTGATATAAATAACGAGGTGGGTAGCGCTTAAGTTGGTTCATAATCACAGGCGGAGGGCAATCGTTGGGCAAATTTTTTTTCTTTTTTTGCATTTCTGAGAAAACTGATACACAAAAAGGTACTGTTACTTTCATTCACCTCAATGAATAAAGTAAAAGAAAGAAAGAAAGAAATTCATCTTCTTAAATGTCTTGTCTTTGGACTCGAGGGAAAACTTTCAATTTGTCAGCTGTGTCGCATTACCAGGCACTGATTGGGCATCCATTTTGTAATCTGAATCTTTCTAGGTAGAAATTTTTATGTATTGTTTCATTCTTACTTGATCCCAAAAACCAGTATCAAAAGTATTGTTTGATTTATTAAAGATTTTGTCTTTTGCATGTTGAATTGCCCCACCTCCCTGCTTCAGTCTGCCTAAAATTTCCGCTCCATTTTGATATTCTGATAACTTTGAACCCTCATTGCATTGGTGTAAGCCTGCTTTACAAAGTACCTTCATCAATTATTCTTGAACTGCATAAAGCATCTGTTAAGGTGTTGTCTTTTTAGATTGGACAAGAAACAAAACTGATGAATATTTGTTTTTCCTCCAGAAATGCCTTTACAGATGCTACATAATAATCTTCATGCTAGTGCTACTGTAGTAACCCCAGTTTAAGTGAGCTGTTTCTGTTCTGTTCAATAAGTAAGCTACCAACTGTGCTTATGTTCCTGCTGTGTTTTGTCTTACTGTGACTTATTGTAATGCCTGACAACTGTGATTCATTACTGCTTGGTTCCTTACTAGCCTGAAGGGCAATTAACATGTATTGTGCCAAGTAACCCTTGTTTTAAGCTGACCCATAGTGCTGGTTCAAGACAACCCAATGGTAGTCCCTCACCACCACCACAACCTCAATCTACACCCCCCACCACCACCACCTCAATCTACACCCCCCCCCCCTCCCCCCAATCACAACCCAAACCTTCACCCCTCCCCTTCCCCCACGCAATTCCGGTTTTACTGTTTGCAATGAACTTGGAAATTACAGAGAAATTGCTCAATGGGATGGTAAGCCATTTTTCTGGAACTACTGCTTGATGCTGGTCTTGATTTTATAAATGTTTTTTGCATATTTTAGGATAAAGATTTAAAAGTTTCTTACCATTGTTTTCTCTTTACTGATACTTAAAACACACCCCAGTTTATACCTTTGTAAGTGATTGATTCCAGTTTGTAACAATAACTCCCTTAGAGTCCAGGGATTCCCAAATGCTTGGCAGCACTGCTCACTAACATTTTAATATTTCTATTGTTTTTTCCCCTAGAATTCTATATTGTTTCCTGCAAGCTTGATTGTTTTGTTTTCCAATATATATATAGAAATAGTTGTTATGTTGTGTGTTATTCATACTTCAGTACAGTGATTGCTCAATAAATTTAAACAACATGAATTGATGATTTTCCTGAAAATTGTTTAATTAATAACATAAAATGTTTGTAAAGTTTGGGAAAGTTGGTTAGGATTGAGTCGAGAAGTAATTTGTTATAACCGGCTGATCTTGAAAACTTACAATACGATTATAAAAAGTGAGGCTTTTGAAATCTTTGAGTGATTACTGTATTAGAAGACATGTCTTGATTTCATGTAGACAGTTTTATAAATATGTAGATTGTGATATTATTATTATCATCTAAGTGAATTCTGTAATAGTTCGAGTCAATACCAGTAATGGCCACCATTTAATGAGCTGTTCAAACTTTGTTTTTACATGGAGCTTGAATCAATTGTTTTTTTGTTTTTTTTTTCAGGAAGAAAAGTAGAGTATATTTAGAATCTCCATTAGGGATGGTCCCACAAATTGTTTTCACTATTTTTCAAAAGTTAAAAGTTAGTTTTATTGCAGGACTATATTTATAACTGAGCATTGGTAATCTAGTGTGCAGGATAATAGTAATGGATGTGTTGCCTTTCAGGCCAACGGGATCAAACTTGGTCCGCAACATTCTCCCAGCAATCCTAGTATGGCAGCTGGAGGGGCCACCGGGAAACAAGATGGCGGATGTTGTTGAGGATTAGCAAACATGATCAGCTTATCTCTTCAAAAAAATGGAAAATATTGGAAACTTCATGCCTTGGTTGCAACCTGCACTTTCTAAATCTGTTTTTCAGCAGCCTTGGTACAATTTTACTTTGGGCAACTTTGCCTCATCACTGACAAGATTTATGTGGATGTCATCACTGTGATCTGCTCTTCCTTCTCCCCTGTGGCATTGCATCATCATTTTTCAGTGACATCTGCACACGAAATGAAGAAATGTTAAGGTCATTTTTAGAAAATGTCAAGGCCGTTTGCAGAAAATGTCAAGGTTGTTTGTAAGAAATGTCAAGGTCATTTGCAGGAATACAGCAGTTAATTTACCCTACTTCCTATCATTTTTAATCCAGAGTAATGGTATCAAGCTAGGACCCCAGCATTCCCCATCAAGTCCGAGTGGAGCGCCATCTGGAGGCAGTGGTGGAAACCAAGGCGGTGGCTGCTGTTAAGTGAAAAGAACTGAAGATGTTTCGTTTTTCTAAAAGATGTCAAAACTGTGACTGCAGTAAGCTGCCGTGCCCCTGAATGTGCAGAACAACAGGCATACATTACAGTTGATGGAGAAGCTGCATAAGGGTTACTGTGAGGGCATTCAGAACTAAGGATGAAAGAAAAGAAATTATTGATAAAAATTTTTGGAAGACATACCAGTTATTACAGATCAAAATATGATGGAGGAATGTAAATTCTGGATTTTGAATATTTCTTCTTACAACAAAATGTCAGTTGTAATGTGAGTTACAATTGCTGAAGACAATTTACCATCCCCAACCCCCACTCCCAAAAGGAGGGTATAGAAAAAGTTTAGAAATAATGACAATTAAACAAATTTTGAATAAAAACCTCATTTTAGAAATACTATCAACTGTATAGTTATGCCTAAAGCCACCTACTAGCGTTGGCCAAAGTTGCTCTTTATATGACAAAACATTGCCAAGGAGAAGATGAAGAAGAACTTACGTGCAATCATGGACGTGTAAATTATTTTTCATTGCCACATAAGAAGAAGATTGTGAGGTTTATCTTAAGCATGTATCTAGCTTTATGTTATATGATAATAGTAACCCTTGTTGGTGGAACATTCATGGTACATTCATGGCTGGTAATATAATATGGTACTGCCCAGGAGCAGGTTTTGCTAAATAACTTTAGTTTGTAAAATTGGTCTAAACATTTAAACCATTTGGACAGTTATTAGGCCTTCAAAGACTACTTTTATTTCCAAAGACAGCTGGGTGGCTCACAAACTTATTGGGTTGGTTGGTAAGTTGGGCTTGCTTGGGTTTGGAATATACGTGTAAATAAAAGACCCAGCTACAAATTCACATTTTGGACTCCCTGTACCTTAAATCTTGAGGAAACCCCTGATCAAGAAATAAATAGTTTCAGTTTCGGAGTAATACTTATTTTAACAGACTACTGTGGATTAATATTCAGCTGACCGGCACCTAGGACCATAAAAACTTGACTGCTTACTTGAGGGATTTAAAGGTAAACAATTAGCGAGTTGTTGAGTACTTATTCTGTTTATTACTCAGAGCAGAAAAAAAGGATGGCTAGAAAAGCCTAAATTAGTGCTGTGAATGTTCTCTCGTGCTCTCTCTTTTTTCTGTTAGATGAAAATAGAGATCTTTTGTAGTAGCTTGTTGTTTCTTTGTAGAATAAGAAAATGATGGAAAAGTAAATTGAGAAGTTGATGCTATAAATTGTAATTGGAATCACCCAAGATAGCCCATAGTCTCACAGCTTTGTGTGAAGTCGAGCAAGATTTAGAGGACTTTGGATGAGAGTGGGAGCAGTTAAAATGGCAGAATAGCATGCAGTGTAACAGCTGATCACAGCTGACATGATTCATCCCAGGACAGGACCACCGCCACGTTTTAGGCTATCTCGGTTGATTTCTATTTTGTGTCACGTGTAAATGTGTCTCTCTTTCTCTTTCTCTCCCCCTCTCTCTTGCAGTAAATGAAATCCAATTCTTTTCCTCTTTATTGAAATTATTTGTGTGAGGTTTTGGCGAGGAGAAAATTTTGAGTGTTATCCATTGCCAGTACTGTGTCCACTGCAATGTATGTATTGCTCAGTGTTGAACGCAAATTTTACTTACGTAGCAAATGACTCTCTCTGTTTCTATCTAAAGGTGCTTTGTTTAAGTCTTTAAATATCAGATGACATAGTGTACTAAAGCATTTAATATTAACCATCTTTGGCAAATTACATTTTGTAATATTAAACAAATATTTTGTATTATTGTCAAGTTATCGACTCCCAGATAATTGCCATGAATAATTATAGGAAGAATGTCAAGATCTTTGCTTTCTTGGTATTTTTGAGGCAAATGAACATAGCAATGTAAAGTAACACTAATATGTAACATTGTCCAAAGTCTGGTACTTTATGTACATTGGTGTTGTGTTCTTTATGTTCTCTTCTATGGTGTGTATAGTATTTTATTGTATAGGGTTGATATGCAGAAAAAATGAATTAAAACACAATAAAAGTGAAATGGCTATATTTAGTTCCAAAAAGGTGTTGTCTTCCTTTACTCCATTCGTCATACAAGCTTTTCTTCCTCTATTATTATTATTATTATTATTGCGTGAATTATTTGAATTAATTTCTTCATACTTCGGTCTAAGACCTTTGATTTGTTAATTGGAATATATTTCAAGGTCAAATGGGACATGTTTTTTACTTTAGTAAAACTTCGAGCCGTATTCTTTCAGCTACTAAGTTCAATGTGTATAATTTCACGAGCAGCAGCCATGACAGAGCTTTCATTACCAAATTTGGTCTGTTTCTCAGTTTGCCCCATAATATTGTGTTAGTGTCTGTGTACATCCTTAGGAATTTTGAGAAAATCCAAGGTGGCCGTCATTTTCCCGACAGGTGTAGTAAGATTTACCAAATGTCTCGCCCGTTATATCTCTGAAACCAGCAAAGATTCACAGTTGTGTTAATTTGTTAATGAAGTTGAGAAAAGCATATATTGAGAATCTCAATGTGATCTTTGATTGGACCTTTGACCTACTTCCCACCATGAAATGATCTGCAAATGGATTTGCCATAATACCGCCAAAAGTAGAAAAGATTCTCTCATAGTAAACTATTGAATTTAAATATGAAATCCAAATGGGAAAAACATTTTGTTCCAAAATTGATATATTGACATCATTTTATCCTTATTTTTTTCGACACATTTTTGTCTGTTATACCTTGGTTTAAGTGAGCAATTTAGTGAAACTTCAGAGAAAATTTGCTTCTTTGCTATGAAAGTGTTTGCATCGTCAAGACCCACTGGAACCAAATATTATGGTGATACATCCATGTGTGACGTTGACACCAATATTTCACTACACAACAGACTGTTATAATACCTTCGGGCATTTATTGCCGATCTGCGGTACTTTTGGAGTGTGCTGATGTGGTATATAATCAGGGGTTGCCTAGCGAGTTGAGACGGGCATCTTGCCATTGTGTACAGTGGCCTTGTCGTGTTTTTGAGGTTTCGTGGTTATGCGCCGTGACTGTTTGGGAGGCCTGAGTTTTTAAGTGTGATTCTTGGTCGGTTACTGAAATGGTGTACTTCCCGTTCCATGACAGGAGTCGGCGTTTTCGTGTTCTTAACATTATTTTAAGATACACAGTTTCACAAAACGTTAGTTTTTTTTTTTTTTTTTTTTTTTCAGGCTTGTTAAAGGCTGATATTGTCTTCGGCTTGCATTATCTCTTGCAATAACATAAAAATCGTGACAGCTTGCTCTTGGTCGTGACTAGGAAAAAAAACATACTCAGTCTGACAGTGGAGAGGAGAGTCATTGGGAACAGAAACACGCTGGCAATAGAGTTTCCACTGACCGCTAGAATTCAGGGTGTCAGGCTACGACGTCCGAGTGGACGACCTATCTCATATTTCATGACTGAAAGCAAACAAACGATGGGTATCTTTTGTGTGTGTGTGTGTGTGTGTGTGTGTGTGTGTGTGTGTGCCATGCACATGTTTTTTTTATTTTTATTTTTTTTTTTTTTTTAGTTATAGANTTTTTTTTATTTTTTTTTTTTTTTACAAATCCATGTAGTAACTGTCTGGCTACAACAAAAATTAGGGCATGTAAGATAAACATCTTTACTTTCTATTTCTATTATTTTGGAATAAAATAACCCAATGCCACCTTGTCATACTATGAATTAAGTAAATAATTAAGTTCATATCCGCTTCACACCCTGAGTTTCAGAAGTAACTGGAAATTACATCTAAGTTACAGTGAAGATAATGTAGGTAACGCCCACTTTCTATCACGTGTTCAACGCCACCCAATGAAATTACGACAAGTACCTAAAATATAATATCAAACCCCTCCCACAACTATTATATAAAAGAATGCATGCGTAGATCTTCACATATACACACAGTTCTTTCCAACGTTGTAGACAATACTTATTTGTTGATGCAAACAGTTTAAGAATGGCAGTATTACGTTTGTTAACATGGTCGTTCTTGTTGGTTCTTGGTGAGCATAGTTCTGTTTGTGGACACAGTGTTATCAGCTGGCAGAACAAGATCCCAATTCTTAGAGGCCTACCGTCACTGGACACAGGCACTGGTACCGTTGATAGGAACACAAAAGAAAAGGTTCGTACGAGTATTAACAAACTGTTCCGAGGGGATTCTCGATTAATTGCAATTAACTTGGGGGGGTTTGATGCCTGTCACGCCTGCTGAGACTGATAGCGGGAACTGTCGTTTAGCGGCTTTAGTGGGCGTCCCAGCCGCTTGGGCTGAAAGCAATTTAGCAAGGAACCCCGTGGAGATGGACCGATCCTGTTAGATCGATCTAGGGATGGGAACCCAGTCTTTTGCAGTGTGCCCCCTTTACTTTACATATGCCGTGGATTTTCGATGTTTTATCCGTAATTAAATCTTTTTTCAATGCCTATGCTATTTTAATATTATTAAATTTGAATTTATTTACCGTTTTTACATGTTTGTTACTGAAATTACCTAAGCACTCGTAATGTTAGAATGGGCTTTACATTTTTGTTAAGACACCGAATACATGTATCATCAAATAAATTTGCATGCTAATTTATATGAATAACGGACATATTGATCAAATTGACCATGCGAATGAATTAAAAAAAACATGTTGAAAATAAAAGATTTAAAAGTACCAACTGCTATTGCAGATGACGTTCACCCGTTGGCACGGTTTCAACAAATAATTCAAATCTAAAATGGTTCTTATCTTAAGGAATGAGCATTTGTCTGCTTCGAACCAAGATGAAAATGTAAAAAGGTCACTTTAAGTCTGATCTTCTTCCTCAGTTACACAGAGTGAAAAGGACCAATTAATGGAGATTTATTTTGCCGAATGGATTGAAAATCTGTAGAGTTAACCCGTTTCTTCTCGAAGGTTATTATGCCATAGTTATTTCGTTAATCATGGGTGTGCTCACAACAGTGCTTTACTCTGAATCAAAAAATCCTCAAGGTTATTAACTCAATAATTTTGCTGCCTCTTAAATCATTTTACCTTATTGCTGTAGGTAGATGAATTGGAAAAGAAGTTCTACGAAACAGGCGAGGAAATGCAGAACACGATGGCGAAAACGCTGCTACAAGAAAAGTCAATGGAATCCGCTCTCGCTGACACACTGGGAATCGCCCCGGTAAAAATCAAGAGAATGAATGCACCGAAAGGTCAGTGATACTTAAACTGGTAAGAAATAACGGTTAAATTTTGTCTTAGAACATTCATGGCTATGACGCTAGTGCATGCAACCAAGTTTACAATGTTTGTCATACTTAGAAATATTGGGATTAATGGATTTTGAATATGCCTCGATTGGGACTGGGCCTGGGACGCAGGCGCCTTTACAATGTGCACGATTTTTAAATTAAAACTGCTTTGGCGACCGTTGAGAGTCCTGACCACATTTGTGATCGCAGTAGGGACTCAGAAAAGAGCCCACCCAATGTAATTACGTATTTATGTATTTATTTCATATTTATAATTATGTAATGTATTTATTTCATATTTGTAATAAAAATGACAAACTTTGCAATATTTACAGTTTGCAAGGCCAAGGCAGACATAATATTTATTTTGGACGGATCTGGTAGCGTCAGCACACCCGACTTTGCCAAACAACTACAATTCATCAAGTCTTTGGTGAGGAAATTTGAAGTTGGACCAAACGCGGTAAAGGTCGGCGTTCTGCAGTACTCAACCAACACAGTGCAGGAGTTCAACCTTAACACTCACAACACCAAGGCCGCCATCCTAGCCGCCGTCGACAGGATCAAGCAGAAGAGAGGTATTACTAACACAGCTTTCGCCCTCTCCACCGCCCACAAGAGTAGTTTCACAGCTGCCAAAGGCGATCGACCGAACGTCCCGAACATCGCTATAGTCATGACTGACGGCCAGTCTATTAACATGGCGGCGACCGCCAGAGAAGCAAACATGCTGCGAAACATTGCATCTGTGTTCGCAATTGGAGTTGGGAGAAATGTCAGAACTGCTGAGCTGAAGGCCATGGCTAACGACCCAGATAGTAAATATGTATTTACAGTGACAGACTTCAGTGCCCTGTCAAATATAGAGACAAAGTTAGCCACGGATGCTTGTGCACGTGAGTAGCTTATTATTTCTTAACACGAAAATTAACACGTTAGTATCCTCGTTTTTAGTTTATATACTATATTTGCCAACGCATGAAAAATATGAGTGCTCATATCTGTAGATTGACAGCCGACTACTGCGTTTACTGCGATGTAGGGACTGGACTGATAAATATTCTTAATACGCAGGTCAAGTTCGAAAATCAGCATGATCAGGCCATTTTTATTGAAGTTATGCAGTTTTTTCACTTTTTTCAGCATTTATGCAACACCGATAACACAATATTTGAAAAACCGCTTTACTGTTTGGCTTGAAACTTACAGAACTGATGAATATCTATAATACGCAAGTCAAGTTCGAAAATTGGCATCATTAGAGCATTTTTATAAAAGTTTTGCTGTATTTTCACTTTTTTTCAGCAGAATGGAGCAAAGTGGACATTTATAATTGTTCTATTGATATTTTTGCTTTAACAACATATTTTTGATTGATCATATAAAAATGACAGTAAATTGATTATTTTGCTTTATGTAAAAAAGGTGTTGAAAATGGAAATAAACTCTTTCAATACAGTTTTCTCTTGTTTACATTTTGGGATTTTCAAAGCATGACTCTGAACTCTATAGGCTAATCACATTTGCTGAATNATAACAAGCCAAAAGAAAAAACAGTTTTCCACTTATCGTGTTATCGGTAAAAGTGCACGGCGATGTCTGTACATAAAAATGATGGTTAACCTGATATTGTGTATTGTGTAATGTGTCAAAAATGGAAAAAAACATATCTTTACAGTTTGTCAGATTCATCCATTCACTATGTTCAGAATTTCATTTATAATTGTTCTATTGATATTTTTGCTTTGACAACATATTTTTTGATTGATC